AGAATTGGCAGAGCCATCTAGGTTTATTTAAAGCTATGCAAGTGATCACAAGGAGGGGTCTCAAAGGAACTCTGACCTCTACAAGTTTACAAGCGTATTTATACTTTAGACAGCGAGAAAAGATGCAGGGTTCAGACAAAGCAACCTTGAGAGAAACAGGAAGAAGTTGGTCGTTTGTTTGTCACACCTAAGCAGTTTACTTTTTCAGCAAACACACTGTTTTGGGAACAGCTATCAGTTTTGAGTTTTTTTGGTTCCTGGAAAGGAGGAGGTTAACATCTGCACACAGACAAATCAAGGCATGAAGGTTTTTCCTTATCTTAGAACATTTTAAAACACATAGCATCAGCATCTTTTTCTCTTCTCTTTCTCTCTCTTTGTCTCTTCTCTTAGTCAAGTAAGAGGCCTGGTTAAACTTATTTCCACAAAGGTAACATATGACCAACACAATCGAACAAATGTTACACCATGTGACCTGGTGATGGTGGCTTAAGGGTTAATGCTTCTTGAATACACATTACAGTAGGGGAAGGTGTACAAACTACCCACAATAAATAAGGAACCAATACATAAATACATTGATACTCCAGCTAATAAACCATCAAGAACTTATTTACACAGTCTATAACTGGTACAGTGTGTACTGAGGACCCTGTGTGCACTGCCCCTGGAGGGCTGTCTCAGGGAGCAGGACTGTCTGTGTCCCTGGCATAGGATCTGTGGGTGGTCTCTGGTGCTGGCATCCCTTGCACCAGCTCCAGGGGTTTCAGCAGGTGAGGTCTCCTCCCCTGCAGTCCCTGCAAGAGAGCTGATTGCTGCCCAGACCCCTTCCCTGGCTCACAAGGGAGCTGTGTCCTGGCTGCAGGTTGTAACAGTTTCCCCTGCCCAGCACAGCCTCACATCACCTAGCAAATGCAGCCCCTCCCTAGGCCCTGCCTGCTCCAGGGTTTCTGAGGGCTGGAGCAGACCCTGCCTCTCTGACCCAGGGCTTCCTCCAGCACCTGAGCCAGCCCCTGCCCTGCTGTGCTCGCCCAGCCACACGGGGATTGCAGCAGGGTCTTCCCGGGCTCAGTCGCCTCACAGGCAGCACCTCTCTGGTCCTGCCCTGCAGGGCTCCCAGGGGAAGGGAGGGAGAACAGACAGCTCAGCGCTCTCTCTGCAGCCATTTCTGCAGGGCTCTGCCAGGGGCTATGGGAGAGGTGGCTGTGGGGAGATCCTTTCCCTGGTCTCCAGCCTGGCCCTCACCCCCTCCCCTGTCTCTCCTTTTGTTCTCTCCCTGGGGAAAACTGCTCCCCTCTTTTAACCAAGCCTTTCAGCCAGTCCCAGGCCATGGCTCTTCCTGGGCTTTTGCTAACATCTCTCATTCAAACCCTGCTGGGGTTTCATCATCCCCCCCCCACTTCCAAGAGGGCTGCCTCCAAAACAGCTTCACTCACCCTCGGGGGAATGGGTAACCTACTGGGACAAACTCTGTCTCTTCCCACTTTGTCCCTCTGCAGGGCAGCGCTTCCTATTCCTTCAGGTGGGTCCATTTCTAATGCTGCTACAATTAGGAAAAACCTTCTCATGAGGAGGGTGGTGAAGCACTGGAGCAGGTTACCTAAAGAGGTGGTGGAGTCTCCATCCATGGAGGTTTTTAAGGCCCGGCTTGACACAGCCGTGGGTGAAATGATTTAGTTGGGGATGGCTCTGCTTTGAGAAGGAGCATGGACTAGATGTGAGCTCCTGATGTCCCTTCCAACCCTCATTTTCTGTGATTCTATAACCATCAAGGTGAGTTAAAACAGTGACCCCCGGAGTGCACCAGAAGTGCCTAGGTTGAGCAGAGTTCTTTCATAGGAATGATGTTGCACTGGCCCTACACCAAGTATTCTTGGCATGCCTCAGGTAACTCATCCTGAGTGATGGTCATGGGCACTTTGTACCCAAGTCATCTGCATCTCTCCCATTAAATACATTTGATCCAATACAAATTATCGCTTCAAATCCTTGCTTCTGTCGTTGCTCCCCGATAGGTGGAAATGGGTGGGTTTGACTTCTGATCATCCAGAAGATGGCAGAAGACAGAGGACAAGCAGAAACGGATACAAGTAAGTAATTCCTCCCTTATTTAAACAAAGATTTTTCATCCATGCAGTAGAAGGGTGATATAAAACCTGGGTTAAAGCAAGGGAATGTTAAGCTCCTGTTCTTGTCTCAAAACACAAGACTAAGGAGTCAGTCAGTAAAACTATTCAGTGGAAAGTTGGAAATGAATCGCAAGAAAATGTGTGTTCCTTAATTGTGATGTGCTGCCAGTTTAAATGACAAAAGTCATGGCAAGATTCAACTTTAGCAAGCTTCAAAGGGATATTGGGCATTTATTGAGGGTAGGAAAAATATTCAGCATAAACCTCATTCATACTAACAACAACATATTGGAAAGGATATTATGTTTGTTGCTTAATGTTTTTAAGCTGATCTCTAGTTTTGGACACCAGGATGTATCCTCATAGTTGTATAAGATGTTACCCCCCCCCTGCCCCCCACACTAAAAGTGCGTTTAGTCTGCACTTCCTTGTATTGTTAGGCCAAACTTCCATACTGTTTTGCTTTGTAGGACAAGGGCCAGATGACCTAACTAAACTCTCAGATCTTTAGGCTCGTCACATTTGAAAATGGTCTAGTCAAAGTGATTTTTCCATTTGCATTGAATGACACCAATTGCACAAGTTCAACAAAGGTCAGGCAGGTGTTGGGAATGATTGGATGTTTCTCTTTGAGATAAGTGTAACAGCTGCTACTGGATTTGCAGCATGGCCCAGGATCCCTGCAAAGGCAGAGCAGGAAAGGTTGCAGAAAGTTGTTGCTTGCAAGAGCAGGTGCATGGTTTTGCTTGGCTCCTGGGGCAGGAGAGTGAAGGGGTCTCAGCCCCCGGGACACAGCCAGGCTCAGAGAGGGAAGGAGCCAGGACTGCAGAGCTCAGGGGGGAACCACCCTGCAGCCTGCCCATGACGTGAACCTGCCCTTAGTGATGGGGAGAAGATAACCTGGTATCCTTTTTACCTCTGTGAGGCAGAGGGATTGGTGTGGAGGAAAAAATAGTGGTAAGGTAGACTTGCCTAGGAGGGTAGGGTGTTGGTCAGGGAAGGCTCTGGGGAGAGTTAACTTGGCCTGGGGCCAAGGGGGGGGGGTGATAAACCCAGAGTTGTTCCAGTTACAACACAAGGGGCCATGTCTGGGAAAGGTGCTTTTGGGGAGTGGGGGCAGCATGCATTTCTTTACAGCTACCACAGACAGCTGGGGCAGAGGAGAGCTGCTCTTCCCCAGGAGGCTCTAGCAGAGAGCAGGACTTCCTGGCAGCACAATAGCCATGGCTGGTGCTGCTGCTTCAGTGTGAAGGAGAGCTGATGCCTTGTTAACCCTGTGTGCTCCTGCAGAAATTCACTGGAGTCCCGAGGTTTAAGCTGGGGAGCTGTACCGTGGGTGTCTTTGATTCAATTTGTAGAGTGTTTTAGGTCATTGATACCTGCCTTTGACAATTAAATTATTGATATCCTGTTCTGCCATTAACCTTACTCATACTGTAACCCAGGAATACCCAAGGGTGTGCCTGTCCTCAATTGGGAGGGATATGAGAGGCAGGTACAGTGCTGTGAGAGGAACACCAATGATTTTGAGCACAGGTCCCTCTTTCCTCTATAGCAGGGGTGGGCAAAATGTGGCCCAGGGGCTGGATGTGGCCTACCAGGCCGTTCTATCCAGCCCCCAGGGCCCCTAAAAAATTTAGAAAATTAAGAAGCTTCTGCCCTGAGCTGCCTGTCATGCGGCCCTCAATGGCTTGCCAAAACTCAGTAAGCGGCCCTCTGCCTAAAATAACTGCCCACCCCTGCTCTATAGAATCAACCCCATGCCAATGCTCTTAACTATTTACAGTTTATTGAATTATATGTATGTAATATTTAGTTTTATGTTTATGTATATTATATTTACACAATGAACATTAACAAATAACCAAGGTCAAACCCTGAGAAACACTATTTACCCATCACAATAAAATAATTTCAGCAGCATCAACACAAAACAACATCACAATACACCATTTCAATTACAAATATAAGGCGCAAACATAAGCAACCTTAATAACATCTGTTCCTTGATATAGTCCCTGATGCATGGCAAGAGGTGGCCCTCCTTCCAATGGGGTCCCTTGGGG